ATTAGGCTTTCCATGACACAGAATATATGTTTCTAACATAGGTTGCCTTTCTCATTCCGTACCGTTGATGGGTGTCACTATCTAAATAAGGGTTTTTATAAAACTATTCTTTTTCTAATCCATGTAATTCAGTTTGTGCTTCCATGTATTATTTATTGCCCTGCCTTCAAGTCTTGTACTGAGCACGGAAGTAACAAGAATATTTGTTATTTCTATTTAGTATTAATAAGGAGTTGAATGAAATGTGGTCACTGTAGGAAGTGACCACATCCTAACACCCCTTTCTGTCAAACTACAGCAAGACACTGAATTCCCTTTGAGTCAGTAAAAATTCAAAAGAATTCAAAAACACATAAATGAAACTCAAAGTTTTCTGAAGATTTCCAGCTCCTCCCAGTCATAATGTATAATGACTTTTAATACAGGTACCAGATTTTTGGTTAAATTTCAAGTCTTCTGATACATCTGTCATGTGATTCTTTTGCTCCACCACTCAAATAAGGCACAAGTTAAGCCTTAGTACACTGTGTGGCCGGGCTGTCTTCCCAAGAGGATAGTGAATATGTTGTGGAACCCAAAGGGGTGCCTGTAGGGAAAGACAAGTTAATCCTTTTATTGACCTGATTGGAAATGAAATATTTTGCATCAGTAAAAAAAATCCATTCACCGCAGAATCTTAGAATTTTTCTGTTGTCACAGGAAGAATGGGAATTTGTTGTGGGCAGAATGGGAGCTTCAGGCAAAGTTTGTGAGAGAAGCCCTCCTGCTGAGTCACAGGGTGCAGAAAGGACCCCCTTGCTTTCTAAACTCCTCAGAGAAGAGTCTAGGTATGGCTGGATCCAGTCTTAGCCCCAGACTTTGTCAACAGTTTATTTCTAAAGGACTATATGGGTGTAATTAGACCTTTATACTACATATATTTATAGAAAAATAAATTATATATTATGATACCAATTAGACAAAAAGATCTTAATCAGAATTATTTACTACACAGTATAGAAGCTATAACTACTAGTATAGGGCACTATTTCGAAGCAATATTGAAGCGATATATTAAAGCTGGCAAAAACCAGTTATTAAGTTACTCACCCCTACCAACAACTGTGGGCAGCTCTCTTCTGCTCTGCCCCAGGAGTAACCTTGAGGGGTATCCCCACTCAAGAGACACACACTCCAAGAAGGAAAATCCTGCTCTTAAAAGGTGTGACTGTGCTTTTATAGTATAAGGTGATCAGATGTCTCCAGGCCAGCTGTGTCATCTCAGCAGTTGTAGGTAAGCTATCAGTAGTATTACTTGTTTGTTCCTTTATCGAGTACTCTGACACATTTTCACCTCGCTATCAAGATGTTTAACTTTGGGATTGATGAGGCTGGGTTCAGAATTATTCAACAAAAGCAGCATAAAGTCCCCCTCTCCATTCACAACTAGTAGATTTGCAAACAGGGCATTGTTCTGTTTGTTTTACCCCATTCCAGGCAGAACATCCTGCTACAACTATTTCCCTGCAAATAACATTTTACATAATGGAAATGAGATGCAAGGATTAACACCAGTTTACAGAATTTAAGGAATCTGAGAATTTACTTCAGTATATATGCTTAGTACCAGTCTGTGAATATTCAGTGCAACCTGAACATCTCAAGTTTGGTGCTTAGAAGAGAAGGACCATACAATTAATGATCAGCTGAAAATGTAATTAGCAGGAATCATACATACAGTTGCTATACCAGCAATATGGGAAGCTTTATGCAGGAACTCGGTGGCAGATGGAGGGATGAAGCACAATGCAGCACTGAGCTGTTTTAATCTCATTTCTGTAGGGGCATACTTAGGTCATACCCAGTGGAAGATTTATGCATATACCAACTAAGCACATCGATGCTGAATTCTGAGATACACAAGTCCTTTATAAAGCCCGTTCAGAGCCATTCACTTGGGAGAGTTGACGGTAAGGCAAGCAGGGTGGTGAGGAGCTGCCTAAATCTAATCCCTCCACAGCCATCTGCCCTAGATCCAGCACCCGAAGTGACCCTCAGAGATTACGTGTGCATCTCAGCTGGCTGAAGAAATTAATCACTTTGGAAAAGGTGTCAGTAACCTTTTATATAATAATGTGATGGGTCATATCTCCTTACTCAGCAGGACATGTGGTTTGTGGAGTGAGTACTCCAGTAGGATGCTCTCACCCAGGCTTGTGCTGTTCATGCGTTTTACTTTATGCCTATGGCTGAGTCACCTTGAGGCCCATACTCGGTAGATAAAATGGAATCCCAAACTGTTTGCATTTTACAAATGATAAGCATCAGAAAACAGGCTTACAATAGAAAGTGTAGCACAAAGTTAGCTGTAGTTACCCTGCAAGTTTTCTTAGGCAAGAGGTGACCTGGGATGACAGAGGCTGCAGCAAAATGCTCTTCCCTTTGAGTTCAGTTCCACCTAAACTTTCTCAGGAGCCACAGTTGCTGATCATTTGAAGGAGGGTGTAGTTTAAGATGTGGATAAGAGAGTTGTGTCTCTGAGGCATTATACTGTTTTGGCTAATTATATAGTGCTGAAGTTTGTATTGGTGCTTCTATAATTCTCTTCCATCTTTATTTTCCTCAGCTGAAGTTCTACTGACAGGTCTTTGTAGCATGGGACACCTGTACACAATTTAATAAAATTTTGGAGAAAGATACTTATAAGTTACTAATGATTTTCCAGAGCAAAAAAAAGTTCTATTTGTGATTTCTTGTTTGGAAGTGTTGTATGATACAAGCTGAGATTGTGCAGGGTGTCTCTGCATAGTACAGACACTAGGATTATTTTGAAGGAATATGGTTGTATATAACTACACTTTTTTAGCAAAGTAAATTGCAAAATTTATAAATATTATTTAGAAAGTATGTATATATCATGTGTATCTGTGTGTAGGGACACTTTATTTTCTCTGAAGTTATAGATAAATCATCGGTGAAAGAGGTTAATACCTGCTCAGAGGGTGTAGTTTAAAGGACCTTTTAAAGACTGTAAAGTGAGTAATTTACAGATACATTTAATTTGAGCTATAAATTTTTTTTCTTGCCTTACACTCTGCGGAAAAGGATTTGTATATAATTTGTATAATTTGTATTATATTTGGATAGAATTGCAATGAAGCAAATGCAAACCTTTGAAAGTGCCAAACCATCCATATAGGCAGTTCTATTTCAAGATCCCTAACAGTCCTGGGAATCCTCTAATGACCCTTGGAAGTGCTGTATAGTTATTCTGTCGTACAGCTGGGCATCAGGAATAGGTAATTTTGTCCTTGTCATGCAGACGGCATTCTCAGTTAATTAGGGAACTGAGGATTTTGCAGGGACAGTAAAACCATCACTAATTCTGCAAACCCTTGTTTGGCCAGTGTAGTTAGTAATAATTTGGACCAAAATACAGCTCCAAATCTTGTTTTTCTGTAAAACTATTGACAGCGTTCTCTAGTATCATTAAGTTGTTTTACACTAGCGAAGCTTATGCAATTTATTTTTCTTTATACTAGTGAACCTTATGCACCGTGATTTCCTTTGTGCTGCGGCAGACCTGGAGAGGCAGCTGTTCCCGCAGCCGCCCGCTGTTTTGTTCCCTGTGGTAGATAGTTGGAAGTCTTGTGCCCTCTTGTGGTCCTCACATCCAGGGAAGCGTCAGGCAGCAAGCCTGGCATCCTGTCCATGTCATCTGTTAGGGCACAAACAACAATATATTGGTAAACAAAATGAGCAAGGGCATGAAAAATCGCGAGCTTGGCTAGATAAAAAAACAAACCACCCATTGTTACTTGCAGAGAGGTGGGTTAGGTAATAATTAGCCCCATTAGCACCATAGCCAATTAACCCAGCAATAAATCTGTGCAACATAACATGTCCAAATTAAGAATCAGAGGAGACCAAGAAAAAATTATTTGATCCAGTGTTAATACACAAAGGCTAGGAATGTTGAAAGTGGGTGAAAATTTATTTTTGTAGTTCTGTAGTTTAAAAGGTCAATTTTAACTGTGTCTTCATTAAAATGATAAATTGCTATCAGTGATAACGATCCCAAATTTTGTGTATATGCCTGTGCTGAGTTTGAATATAGTCAGTCTTCAGTTTATCCTTCTATTGCAGTGCCTGAACAAAAGGTTTATTCTAGGAAGCAGAGGCTCAGTAGCTCAGGCAGTTAGCAGAGAAAAAAAAATATTCAAACAACTTTAGACGTGAGACTCAGGCACTGTTAAAAATATTCCTCCAATATAGTTCTCAGTGGTACGTATGATAATGAAAGATCCCTGTTAGAGAAAGGTTCAGGGTAAATATCACTTACTTTACTGTGCTTAAGGGTACTGAACTTTCAGCATTCCTGAAAAATAAAGAATATATTTTGAGCTATTTAAATTGGCAAACAGAAGCAGCAAGAGTAATTTCAGGTCCTGGAAAAAACAAAATAGGCAAAGGCGCTATGATACTGGGAAGACAAGTGTGCGTGGTGGGAGGGGGGAATGAGTGTGGTTTCTGGTCCTCTAATCAAAGGCAACTACTCTGCTCTTCCCTCATCCGCCCCTTTTTCACAGTGACGTACCTGAACCAGTTCAGTATACTCCCCATGACAGTAAACAGCAGGTTTTTAATCTCATTTCAGTGGATAGTTAAATCAAATCTTTTTCCCTCTCCCATATGTTCCTTTGAAGTGTGATTGCATACACTGAATGGAAGACAACAACTGGAGATGACCTCGTACCATGTGAACTATGTGGGCAATGCTTTTCTGGATACTTCCTCTATTTCATGTGTTCCTTCAGAAAATAGCAATGAGAAAAAATACTGAAAGAGGAGTGGAAGACCTGTAGGTCTTGTGGATGTTTGGTTGTGAATGATATAGTAGCTTCCCTTTTCTCAGTTACATGGGATGACTCTGACACAGAGCTTGTTAGTGAAATGAGTGTTGGGTGGAACACTTGCTCCCTAATGTTTTTCACACTGTTGCTCTCCTTTGTCCTTTGTAGGTATGGAGAGTGCAATCACACTGTGGCAGTTCCTTTTGCAGTTGCTGCTAGACCAGAAACATGAGCACCTGATTTGCTGGACGTCTAATGATGGCGAATTCAAGCTACTCAAGGCAGAAGAAGTGGCTAAGCTGTGGGGACTCAGAAAAAACAAAACTAATATGAATTATGACAAGCTGAGCCGAGCGCTCAGATACTATTATGACAAGGTAAATTTTATTATTCTCATGCAAACTAAGAAAATTGAAACGCTACCAGTTAATATTTCTCCTCTCAGTGGAAGCTATTCAGAAGTTCCTCTAAGTAGTCTCTACAAGAGACAACACCAATGTGATCACAGTGGAGATAAGAGGCTAAAAGATGCACAGGAAAACACTGTACATCCCGTTCCCTGAGGAGGGGAGTTTTGACATGGGTTTACACTTACTGATGCTTTTATGTGTTATGCATTTGGCTGCCCAATATTTTCTGTAGCTTTTGACAACAATAAAATAACTGTTGATAACGGAGAACTGTTTGATTATTAGAGCCTGCACAGGATCTTCTGGAATGGTAGAAAGCAGGGATTCTGCAAGGCAGCAGGCAGAGTAGCAGCTTTACCAGCAAGTATTGCCTGAGTCAGAAACAAGGAAAAAAACAACAACCCAACAGCGTAGAGGGCGGGGTTGAGTTTTCATGGGACACATTTTTTGGACCATAGAACCTGCTGACCAGTGCTTTAGCTTGTCTTGCTAGAGCTTTTTGGTATATCTTTGCTGCAGTTGTGTTAGCTGGAAATACAATGCCAAAACACTTGTACAGTTGTGACAGTGCAGTATTTCCTCAGCAGGATCTCACTGTAACTATTCCTCTGGTAATGCTCAGTGTTTTTAAGAGTTTGCAAATTTTCTACTATTCACTTTAGGACAAAATCTGGCTTAACTAGTCTAAATTACATGTTTCTGTCATTTAATTAGCAGCAATATATATGAGAGAGCACTAATGTGATGTCTCACTGGATGAAGGTGCAGAATTAGAGTAGCAAGCAGGGAAAGGCGGCTGGTGAGATGGTGGGTGTCAGAGCAGTGATATGTTTGGGTTTGTTTCTCAAGGTAGTAGTCTCATGCTGAGCTCATCTCAGCTGAAGGCTCTACTTGCTGTAGAATGTTAAATTTACTCTCACTTCAGAACTTATCTTCTGGGTATCTCAAGTTAAAATAATGAAACATGCTTTGATATGGGTTTCTTCATCCAGTTTTTCTCCCTTGCTAGATCTAATGGATTTTGGCCCTCCTCCACAGATACATCTGTTGGGGTTTGATAGAACTAATAAGACCCTAACTATCTGGCAAGCTGTGGTTTTTTGTGCAGTCTTGGGAGCTGGTTACAGGTAGATAGATAGGTATGCACTTAGTGCAGAGCTGTTAGCTATTGGCAGCTCCATTTTCAACCTCTTTATTTAAAACTGGCATCTGAAATAATAACATGTGAACATAGTAATCTGGAATTGTTCAGATTGTTCTGAATATCAGACATTATGAGCATGCCCACAATTTAGAAGAGGTCAGTAGAGGTTGCTGGTAGCTAGCACCTCTGAAAATAACATTTATGCAGTATAGTGGGAGTTCATAAGATCACTGTCATTCTCATGAAGCTGTCCTTCACTTTGACATGTAGTCCTTGGTCTTACTCTTCAGCATGAGGCAAGGTGACAACAGTATATCAGAGACTGAAAAAATGAGAACAGGGAGTAGCCAGGACATATATTAGATTGCTATAACAGAAAGATATTGAAAGGAAATCTCTCAGATGTGTCAAGATCCTAGAAGGAAAAAATTGTAGAACACAAGCACACAAATCTTGTAGAACACAAATCTTGTAGAACACAAATCTTGCATATTCACCTTTCTCATTTTAGAGATTCAGTAAATTCAAGGAGTTTCCAAACTGTTTCTCCATCCTTTTTTTGGATGAACATTATATTGCTTTTACTCACCAATATTAATTTTTTTCAGGATTAGTTCCCCTTAAATGGATATTTTAAAAATATGCCTAAATTCTAAATTACTAGGTTTTACTATTTCCTGTATTCTTGTAGATTAACTATTGAAAAGAAAGACTTTTATAGATTTTATATGCTAAAAAGGAAAACTTCATAGCCATGCTTAGTGGTCTGTTCTTGTCTTGATTTTCAGAGAAGGTGGTGATATGATATTACACAGTGAGTAACACCAGTGTTCAGCACAGTTATGGCATGCTTGCTGCCTGCACAAGGCAGAGGAAACTAGATATTGTTTCTGGACTGAACTCAGAGTACTGCTGTCATGCATTATTTGTAGTGCACTAATTCTTGAAGGGCGCAGTTGGGCTGGGTGTTATGCAAACACAGCCATCAAAAAGCATGTTGACTGCAAATTAACTATGAACAATTTGATGATCAGGCTTTTCATTACTCACAAGGACACCTTCTTCTGTAAGAATTTTTTAGTTTCAGATTTAGAGCTGTTAGTTTTTTTGTCCACTAGAAGTCAGATTTTCCCACTTAACATGTTTCAAAGTGGCCTGACTGAGGAGGCACAAAAGGATTCAGCGAGGACAGTGCAGTGGCTGTTCTGAGCAGTTGGTGTGATGAATTCTTCTTCCCTAAGTGCTAAAAAGGCTTCTGCTCAGCATGGGGAAGCTCACTTCATTATATTACTCCAACCCCTCTGCTTATAAACTTGACTGGGATCAATGGAGACAGAGTGCCTGCTGGTTCATGAACAGCATAGCCAGGCAGAGCCCAAATACACAGTTACTGACTGAACAGACATCGCTTTAAAACAAAGGATGAGATATTTCTAGCACTTGTCCTTTGAGATCTTTCTGATCTTTTTGAATTAATGGAATATAACGGCTCCTTACTTGAGATTCTCTTGCTTGTTTTAAGCCTTAACCCTTTTTTTAACCCCTGTTCTGTTTTCAGTTCCCCCTTCCCAGCACATATGCACCTTTGTCATCTGTTTTGTCTCTGCTCATGCAGTATCTGCCTGAGTGGCTGCACAGTTTCTTCATCAGGGCTCTGGCTGAGGCAGTTGCTTGCTGTTCCTACAGCTGCTTTCTTGGATTGTGCACTCTCTTCTGTCTGACAGTTTTACCTAACTGTGGCACAAGGATTTTGGCCATTTTTCCAGGAGTTCTGCAGCCCAGTGGAGGTCACAGCTCCTACATGTGTTGTGATCAGGGTTTGTACCCCAAACCAAACCTATGGCTATTGCTATTTAAATTGAAGGAGTCGCTCCTTTAGTAGAAAACAATGGGAGCTTCTCACTCTCTGTGTGGATATAGTGTGCTGTGACCTGTAGGTTTCCAGACAGTGGAAAAAGGTGGATTACTGGGAGAGTGCAGAGGGACAGGGCAATTTCTGTGGATTTTGAAATGTGAGAGATAGTGGCATGAGATAGTAATGAATCCTAGTAGACTGGCAGCGAGTGCTTAGCAGTGGCGTCAGTCCTAAACACTTCCTCTGCCTTCAGTTCAGTCTACACTGCATAGCACAGAAGGTAAGAAGTCGTGAAGGCAAGGAAAGGCTCCTTGACATTATTTTTCCCCATCTGCAACAAAAGCGGAAGGGCTGGTGAGATGAAAGAGCCTCTCTCAGACTTTAATGCTCTTCTCCCCAGGACCATACACCAATTTGTAGGATAAACCAAGAGCAGTCTAGACTCTGACGTAGCTTTAAGGAGCCTTCTGAGATCCTTCTTCCCTCCATGGCTGTTGGCAGTGATGTTGGCAGCTGGATGTGCTGGGGCAAATGGGTTGCACACTGAGCAGATGGGATAAACATTGTGTTGCAGACAGGGGAGTGGCAGCAGGAAAGACAAGATGCAGAACTCCGGACAAGGCTTGTTTTGCCTTGTGGAATTATCAACAGGGACTTCTCTACGTATAACCCAAGTGATCTGGCAGGATGTGAGTTTGAGAGAAAGGGCAGTGATTTTTTAGAAATGATGGACACAAGCTGTCCATCCAAGGAACATGGGTTGGGCCTTTCTTTCTCGACTGCCCTCTGCTCCTACTGCATACAGCTGACACTGAGCTAATGCTTCATGCTCTGTCTTTGGAATTATTCACCATGGAGAAATAAACACTGATTGCTGGATAAATGGGGGTTTATGAGCTCTGCATTTTGCTTGGGGGGGAATACTGCCTTTTTAAAATTCATCATCTGATTCATCTGAACTTAAAAGTAAATTAATTCCAGTACTGGAGAAAAATAACACAAATTGGGACAAGTTCCTTAGCCTGGCTTTGAAAGCAAGCATGACATGCTGTTGAGGCTGCTGGCTAGATTTATGCTTAATTCACATAAAAAGCACTCCAGGAAATGTAGAGTACGGCATGTCTTGATTGTAGTTTGCTATCATGATTGTGGTTGCTAAAGGTTTGTAGATAATCTGAAGATTCCATTTCCTGTTTCATTTGTTACCCAAATTCTGCCCCCCTCCCCCCCCCCTTATTTCTATTTAATGCATTCCCCCTGTTGCCTCAACAGAACAGCAGAACAGATGACAGATAGTGCAGGCCAAAGGCCTCCTGCACTCTGTCTACCTACAGCTTGTGTCCATCACGTCACACACTTCTGCTGCTTTGAAATCCCTTTTAATGCTTTCAGGGAAGGAAACCTTACAGCGCCATTCCCATGCAGAGTACTTTAGTTTGATATGTAGAAGTAAAATAACTTTATAAGTAGGGTTAGTAAATTCCTTTTTGTTCAAGTTGCCCAGTTACTTTGTTTCTCCAATAGCTGTAATGGCAGATATCTTTTGGAAGTCTCTAAGGGTTTCAGGGCTCCTAAAAGTCCCCATGAATATTTCAAGATGAGAACACCAGAGGGAAGCTAGTGAGTTTTTCCCATGAGGGGTTTTTATTGAGGGAAGGAGGGCAAATCCAGGAAATTACATGTAGATACCGACTTTAATAGGATGTAGCAGTTATGGAAGCCAAGCCCTCAGAAGTTAGGAAATACAAGAATCACAGTTCCCTGGGTAACCTTAATGTTTGCATGAGTTATGCTGCATCTTTAATTACACAGCTGCATACTGTTGTGATGAGCAGCTATTCAATAATTTTGCATCCTCTCTGAGCAGTCTGTGGCCCCAGGCTTTACTCAGTGAGTGCTATTCAGTCTGTTTCATTTTTCGTTTCAGTTAATGGCTGCCCACTTGTTTAGATGGATTGGCAGCGGGATGTATTGTATATAAATAATACGGCTGCTTCATGGTGGTGCAGGGAACAGAGCTGCTCGGGTCCCCTCAAGATTCAGGGATGTCCAGCACATTCATCCCCCTCCTATAACAGATCAAACCTGTTAAAGACTATTAAAGACTATTAAAAATAGTTCCTATTTTTAATGCCCAAGTGTGGGTGGCAGCATGGAAGACTTGTTTTGGGACGAGGGTCCTTTTCTTGTCTGCTTACAGAACTTCAGGATATAAAGTGATAATGGAAACTGTTATTTTGCTTTTGGGAAGGTCTTCATTTAAGATAACTCAGGGGAAATAGAATCCTGCAAAGAAACAATAGCAGTGTGATGGTGCTAGAGTGCTGGCTATTCCTTTTGTAGTGGCGCAGGTCAGAGGTGTTATGAGGAAATACTTGAAGGAGCATTAGAAAATACCTTTTTAGAAAACTGGAAGGAGCTTCTTTTGAGAGTGATGTGTGGAGGTCAAGGAAGTGCTTGACTGAAATGGCATAAAGGTGGTTACATAGTGCTGTCCTTATGGAGAGATGGGAGTAAAGAATTTGATACTCAGTAAGAGGTAATGGGTAGAAGAAAACACCTGCCTTGAAAAGAGGCATAAAATTGTTCATGTTTGATGTGAGAGGAAAGGGATGTCCTGTGAACTGCAGTAGAGAGAGCAAAGAACCTGTCCAAAGGTGCCAGCCAGGGAAACGGCCTTTGTCTTCTAGATGGACGTGGGTGAGGAAAGACCAAAATACAGCTGAGAGCCTTGATCTTCCAAAGGTCAGTATAGGTGCCCAACGTAGTAGCACCTGTGCCTCCATCAAAAATTTCACAAATCCAGCTTCTACACACGTGGTATAATAACTGCATAATCTATGATGTTAGCAGAGTCTGCCTGCCTGCACATGCTGATGTGGACACACCCCCACCTTTCAGACCAAACCATGCAGCTACAGATACCTCCTGCCAGCTTACATACTTCAGACACCGGAGTGTGAGCAGCCCTCTCTCTGGGTAGGGATCCCAATAGCTTGAAGCAGCCTGGAGAGAGTCCAGTGAGGAATTTGTAGCCTAAGTGTGCCTACACATGTTGCATCCCTTGGTACTCTTGGAGCTAGGGAACTTGCAACACATCCGAGTGGGAGTTATGAGCAGCAGCTACAGCTGTGGTCTTTCTTCTTTCCCAAGCAGGGATGATTAGTACTTACAGACAAGCTCATCCTTCTCTGCCGTAAGTTTTGAGATCTCAAAATCACTCCGATTATATGTCACCTCTTGTGAGGAGGGAAAAAGTCCCAATCTGGTCGTCCTGCTCCCGAGTCCAGTTTAGTCTGAACTTCAACTAGAAAGTGGATCCCATTTCCCAGCTCGGTTTCCTGAGTGGCTCCTGCAGCCAGCAAACTTGCTAGCTAAGAGGTTTGAGCCAAGCCACTAACATCCTTTGGTCACGCTGGTAGTATAGTTATGCCTTTGCTCTAAGTGGCTCAAACAGGGAGTAGGAGTCAGAGCTGATGAAAATAAAACACAAACAAATGATAGATTATAGGAGGGCTTCCAAAAGTAGTAGTGCATATGCATAGTTGACACAAACACCCCCACAGTATAGTCTGCTTTAAGCTGCAGGGTGAACCAGGCCACCGAGCCTTTGACACCCAGCTCAGCCAGCTGCTCTGTGAAGGACAGGGAGAGACCTTTTCATCCCGGTGGTGATTCAGAGCCCTTGGGTGAGGCTGTCTTTGGAGTGAAGCGAGTGCCTGAAGTGCTGGGGTGTGAACAAGCCTGAGCTCCCTAACAAAGCTGATGTGCTGGAGCAGACATCAGGCAGGGCTCTACCCAGCTTTCAAAGCGCTTTTCAATGGGGTGGCGTGGTCATGTTTTCTGTAGTCACTGTTGTGCAAACTGGGGACAGAGGAGAGGAAGTGTAAAGTGTTCAAGTGAGGAACAATCAAGCCAACAGAAGAGGGGTATTCCCTGCTCCCTGCCCTCTCTCTGAGTGTCCAAGAGCGCTGTCTCTTGGTAAGACTTTTTTCAAGCTGTTGGAGTGGAGCCCCTGCTCCTGGCCTGGTTACCCATTTCTCCTCCCCAGCTGCACAGCCCCAGCCTTCCCTGGCTCCCAGCAGCCCTGGCCAGCAGCCACTAGCACTCATTGCAAGCCTGCTCATGAGGGAATTTACCTAGAAAATTCAAACAACAACAATAAAAGGGGCTAAATGTGCACATATACAGACTGCCCTGCTACCAAGCAAGTGGTCTAGACTTCCTGCAAATGCAGTCCTTAATATTAGGAAGCATTCACTGCCCTTTCAAACTGATGGAGGAAAATCCCTGCTTGTCATGGTGCCTGTCACTGTCTTCTGGGGTTTGAACCATCACAGCTCAGAATGATTCTGATAGATCACTGAGGTGATGGTAGAAATAAGCTGCTTTTTACCTTCACTTCAATTATTTGTCAAAAAAATAGAGGAAAGTCAGTGGCATTTCAGAGGCACTTCATTAATTTGTGTCCTTATTTTCTCTTGCACACTGATGGAGATTTCCTCAGGCTACACATTTAAGAGAAGCCTGCAAAGTGCTTGAGGGATCTGCACTTGAATCCTTTTCATCTCCAGCCATCGTTAAGTGGGCCTTTGCTGCAGGCTGGTGGAGTCAGAGGAGGGGCACTGCGACCTTCTTAAAATATAACTACATTTAATAATAACAAAGGAAGTATAAACTCACCAGCCTGTTCAGTTGCTTTTTATAGCAATGTTGCCCCATTTCAAGCCTGCATCAGTGTAAAAGTGCCACCCTTAAATACATTTATTCTTTTCCTGCTGGGAGTAACATTTTCCAAGGAGGATCTCAGTTGCCAGTGCTTGATGTAAAAGTAGAAGCTGCCAGGAGCAGAGGGGAGGTATTATTTTGAATTAAAATATATATATTAAAAAAAGAAAACAAAAATCCAGTTGGAGTGTTTCCTTTCATACGTCAGTAGTTTGGAGGTTTTGCCTTTTTGAAAAAGAATGCAATGTTGAGAGTGCAGAAAATGTGCACCCATCCATGTTTCACCTAATTAACAGGGAAAAAAAAAATCTAGGCCAAGCCCAAAGCCATGGGAAGTGAAGCTCATGCAGACTCAGATCCTGCGGGCTAACTATTTGTGCTGAACCTTTGAAGGGGGGAAAAAAGGCATTGCAGCATCTGTCAGGTGGGTAGATGTGTGTACAATTCAGCATGGAAGAGGGCAGCTTTGTGCCTTTCGTCTGAGTTTGCTGAATTTAATTCTCCTCCTTGCTACAGATCCCTGTTATTAACTTGGGAAACAACTTTTTCCATTTGTGCCACAGCTCCTGACCTGTGATGCAAAGCCACATCCCAGAGCTCTTTGTAGGATTAGTTTGGTATTCAAGAAGGTGCCCTGAATAAAATGCCAGGACAGTCAGACAGATGAATTATAGAGTGCAGTAGCTCAGCTGAAAGACAGGAGAAGTTCTGCTACCCAAGTGCAGATTCTTCTTTCACAAAATGAGCCTTGCTTTTGTGACAGAACAAGGTGTAGTGCAGGCACTACAAGCACCCAGCATTATGTACTGTCCATATATAAAAAGGGATGATGTTTGTATTCCTTTTTCTCCTCTTTTTTATTTTTTTGAAAGGATTTTTCAGAGGTGACTCAAAGACAAACTCTCCACCAGGGGCTTCAGGAAGAGAGAAATTAGCATGGAAATCTCAGGACATATTGCTTCTTTTGTTCTGCAGCCCTTGGCTTAGGGTGGTAAATGAAGTGTTCCAGTCCCTTTCCTAGGCCCAGCCTGGTGCCATGAAGTGCCTCTGCAGAGGAGCTCACAGGAGCATTGTGTCAGAGCAGGCAGCAGACCTGGGTTTGCAGGAGGAGAGCTAGGACTGGAAATAAGATCTCAAAGGGAATCAGTTCTTTACCTAAAGGAGACACTTACTTACAGAAAAAAAAAAAAAAAAAAAAAAAAAAAAAAAAAAAAAAAAAAAAAAAAAAAAAAAAAAAAAAAAAAAAAAAAAAAAAGTTGTACAAACCTTTGAGAGGTTTGGGATTTTTTTCAATAATTAATTTCAATAGTCAGTTTAGACTGATGAAAACCTTCTGCCTGCACCAGTGAGCATCGTGAGCCTAATGCAAGCCTGGAGATAGTGCAGGGGATACAGCAGAATGCAAATACTTTTCCAGCCCATGCAAGCTATTGCATTTTTCACAGACCATTGAAAGAAGGAAGGTCAGTCACCATCAGTTTAGTTCAATCCTTCTGTGTGTCATAAGGGAGAGATGGTAAATGACTCGAGCCAGGAGGCTTGAGGTGTTTTTTTCCCTTATGGACATTCCGAGAGTACTTCAGACTCAGGGTCGTTGGTGTCAGTTTTGGGAGGCATAAATGAAGGAGTTTGCCTTTGTTGTGGAATGCAAATGTTGGCATAGCTCAAGTCTGCAAGGCAGCAGAACTGCTTTTACTGGAAAGAAAATATTCCCAAGCTGCTTCAGAGGAAGGAGAAGTAAAACAGACCACCGGCAGGTCTTTATCACCTAGTGATGGAGATTTTGGTGGACACATGAGGAGCAGGGGGTGGACTCCCTGGCAGAGCAGAGGTATTGTAATGAGCCAAAGGTGATCAGCATTAGGAGCCCCAGGAAATTACCTGCTTCACTTGATGAGGGAGCAGTGCCTCCCTACCCTTGTGTTTGCTATACTGAGTGCCTCTGAAATGCTGGTATTTCTAGCATCTTCTTTTGTATTTGCAGAACATCATCAAGAAAGTGATCGGACAAAAATTTGTATACAAGTTTGTCTCCTTTCCTGAGATTTTAAAAATGGATCCACATGCTGTGGAAATCAGCAGAGAGAGCCTTTTGCTGCAGGACAGCGACTGTAAGATGCCTTCCGAGAGCAGGGATCAGCACAAGCACAGCTTGTCAGCACTGAAAAGCACAAGCCGTAATGAATATATCCACTCTGGCCTGTACTCCTCCTTCACTATCAACTCTCTGCAGAATCAGCCAGACCCTTACAAGCCAATCAAAACAGAAAAACTGGAGGAGAATTCAGAAGGAAACACACCAGTCGAAGAAGTTCGGACTGTTATCAGATTTGTGACAAACAAAACAGACAAACAAGTTACGAGGCCTGTGGTGTCATTGCCTTCTACTTCTGAAACAGCAGCTGCCTCTGCTTTCCTCAGCTCTTCAGTATCAGCTAAAATATCTTCCTTAATGCTACCCAACAGTGCCAGCATTTCATCTCCATCGTCCTCTTCCTCCAGGTCCCCTTCTCTGTCTCCCACCTCACCCCTCCCTGCAGAACACAGGAGCTTCTTCCTTGAGTCCAGCTGCCACGACTCAGATTCCCTTGAGCCTCTGAACCTCTCCTCAGGCTCCAAGGCAAAATCTCCATCTCTTCCCCCAAAGGCTAAAAAACCCAAAGGCTTGGAAATTTCTGCCCCACCTATGGTTCTCTCCAGCACCGACATTGGCTCCATCGCCCTCAACAGCCCTGCGCTTCCTTCGGGATCCCTGACTCCAGCTTTCTTCACTGCACAGGTAAGACCTGCCTGTCTCCAGGCATTCACACCAAGTGGCCCAGAGTGTTAGCTCTGTTGGTCTGTCCTCATCTGATGGGAGAAAAAAAACATATGGGAAAGAGTGAAACACAGCAGTAGCCTGAGCAAGGGGTGGAAAGTAGGTTCCTCCTGGGGTTTGTTCCTTCATGAGTGTGGGAAAAGCCATCACAGTTGACAGACTGCCTGAAAGGATAAGGAGATGGGGAACCGTTAGTGAATTGTTTATCAGTTCAAACCAGCCTCCAGGTCTAAAAAACAAACAGGAAAAAGCCACAAAAAAACCCACAGGGGTTTTGTAGATCACAACTTGAGCATGTGCATTATGGGATGCTTGGTTAGATTCCTCTAATATGTGTTGTATCCATTCAAACAGTGTGACATTTCCGTTAATTTTTGAATACAGAGCAAATGAAGTGGTTTCTAAGACAGGCTCTGAAGGCAGTTTCGATTTCCAAAGTTGTACAGATACACAGAGTACTTACCAGAGCTTCTTTTCAGCACAGACCTACTAAATAAACAGAAGATTATTTTGTTCTTTTTAATCACTTATTTGTGGTAATGTCAAGAGTTAGTTCTCATTTTCAGTCTATAAAAGAAACCTAGCAGTTCAGAGCAGAAGAGGAAAATCACATAGATACGACTCAGTGCATTCATTGGTGAGTTTTGTCTTACAGCACCACTGCAAAATAGGACAAAAAATTCCAAGAGTAAAATTATCCCAACGAGGAACATCCCTTAAGATCCCCAGCCCTGAAATGACAGTTGATGCAAATACTAGCATTGAATGTAACGAACCGAACAGCAAGTAAAGACAAAGGTGTGTTACAAGCCATCACTCACTTCAGGCTGTCTAGGAGACATAGTGTATCTAGAATGCCATGACCTCATTACCCAGCACCTCTCGGAGGTGTTGGAGGTGTTTGGTGCAGGCAGCATCGTGTGCCCATGTGACACGACGGCCTGGCAGAAGGGAGTGTCTGCAAGCACTCTCAGCCAGCACAGCACTGGCTCTTATTCAGCTTTTCAGCTGGCTGCAGAGCAAGTTTGTGCAGTTCAGACTCACCCATAAACCTCCAAGATACAAAGTTGTGTCACCAAGAAAGGCTATCATCACCTGTAATTTTTGACATCATAAAGCCTTTAAGTGAAGTTACATTTGGCAGGAAGAGCAGAAGTGTGGCAAACCAAAACTGAGGTGCATTGACAAACTCATATAACCTCTAACTGTGGTATAACCACAGTATTTTGCTTTTAGGGAGAAAATCTGACAAATCATATCAGATGGCAACCAGACACAATGACAGCATGAATTATTACAAACCCACTTTAATCTACTCCTGCCCCCAAACACAGTATGAACAGAGATTTATTTCCTCATTTTGTAATTGTATCTTTAAACACTCAATTTTCCCATTCATCTATAAACTAGTGTACTTACTGCCCTGAAAGATGTAGAAAGGAACTGTGGTGCTCCTTTAGCAGGATGGCTAGCTAAGGCCATGATGACTAATGCCATAATTTAGACTGGATCTGCCGTTCATCCCGTTATCCAAGAGCATGCATCACATCTCAAACATTCTCTGGTTTATCAGATCCTAGTAGGAGACACTTGCTGCCATGGGGCAAGTGCAGAACAGGATGTCTGCTCCAGCAGTGATGTAGGTTCAGAGAAGGTCCTGTGGCCTGAGAGGGTATTTCAGATGGCTTTCCACTGCACCTGCTGGTCCTGAGAAATACTCTAGAATGGAGCCCTGTAAGCACAATCAATTTCAGAACAGAAAAAAAGGTTTGAGGGTGTCAGAGCATACAGTGCCTTACTTTGGAAATGTTAGCTTTCCGTTTGGTTAGCTTCAAAGAGAGATACTTGGGTTTTGTTCAGCACTTGCTTCTTCTGCAGATTACTTATTACTTTTGTTGTCTCTCCCTTGGCCAATGTGGATATATAATTTTGACTCACACTTTTTCTTCAGGCCTCTGCTTTAGCATTTGTTACATTTACAACATGCCATTTCCTTAGGGACAGAGTAGTGTGCCTGCAGCCAGCTCCGTTTTGTACCCACAGACACCATCCAGGCTCCAGCATGTGCCTAATGACCTGGGAAGTAATGTATGTGTGACAGCACTTGTCTGTTATCTAACAGCTAGAAGTGACAAGATTGTACTTACACACATTGTTTGTCAGAAGTCAGGAGCCATGAGCATTGTCACTTAACATAATCCTCTCTGTGCAATGAATTATTTCCATTTAAACTGGTCCTATACTTAGGTTATTATGACATTTTTAAGTAGGAACTTCCCAACGGGTTCCACATCTACTACCAGATGTACAGCTGCATGAGGGCAGAAAATGAAGTGACACATCAATTTCCACATGTAATTTAGGGATAGCCTGTCCTGTGGTGTTGTTTACACTTATATTTCCTCTGGTGGTTTTGATGATTGGCTGATGGTGATACTGAGAACAAGCCTGGGAGGCTTCTGTGCTCTTTTTGCATTAAATATTAAATGGATCTGGAGGCTTGCTTTGGCTGGCTCTTGGCTCTGGCAGAGCTTGCAGACACTAGTGCTCTCCTCATCAGAGGACATGAGCTTTTGCTTAGCACTGCTGTTAGGCATGTTAGCTTGCTTCCAGAGATGAACTGAGGGCAACTCAGTATTAAATATCTCTTTCTCTGAAGACCTTCTCTGGCTATATGGAGGTAGGAATAAACACCTCCAATTTTTCCTCATTTTTTTCAAAAGACCCTCTCAAGAACAGCATTTTCAGTTCTGGTTATCTGCAGTTTCTTGGAGCAAAAGGAAAAGAACTGAGGCTGTTCCCTGGAGCTCTTAGTACCGTGTCCTTAGCTGAATGTTGTTGGGTCTTGCTGCTTACATGTCTGGTTTTAAGGTTAGTAGGCTCTTCTGTAAGTAGCTCGGAGTATTTATCCTGACCTAATTCAGTGTGTTATAAGTCCCGTAAATCTCCATCAATAGCTGCCTGCCAATGGAGCACGAGCATAACAAAGGGGCTCTTGCCGGTGCTGCTTGATTTCCTGCCCCATGAAAGCACCACGGCCATGGGAAGAGACTGATTGCAAGGGAGCTGTTCACAAGTGCCTGCTTGTCGAGGTTGCTTTTTCAGGTATCTTGACAAGAGCTGCCACTTGGTGAGATCAAGACAGAAATCTTCTCCTTGCTAGGCTTCCACCCACTCTTTGTCCCTTTTGTTGTCATGCAAATATATCCCAACCCTGACTTCACTGGTGTGACCACTACACCTGCTGATTTACTGCATCAACACCTTTTGCTTTCCTAGTGATACCACAGGTTTAGTACTCCTTGGGACATAACTGTGGTTTCTTCCATGGAATTTGGTGTTTCTGATTCACCTTCTTCAGCACAAGGAAGGTGGTAGTGTCTTTTCCCTGCACACATTTCTCCACAAACCCCACTTCTGAGATTCCTTAGAGAAACCATCCCTTTGTATTAAACTGCCTTTCAGACACCTGAATCACTGGGAGGGCTTTAATGTTTGCTGTTCCTTGTCTATCCCATCTCTTCTGCTAGTGTTAAACTAATTGTTTGACCCTGTTGTGAACTCCAGTGCAGACACGTCACAGCAGGTCTGTATTGCTGTGTGTTTGCAGAGCCTCAAACACCACAGCTGATCCCTCAGGTGCTGCTATGCAAATAATGGCTGTTGTATTTGAAAATCCACATGACCTGTGGTGCTGCCTGTGTGAACCTGCTCACTGCACAGTCCTGGTAACGGGGTGTGACGGTCTGTGGTGTGAGCGGTTGTTAAGGGAGACTCCCGGTTGCAGTTGCCACATGTGGGAGTTTATATTTCTGTCCTGATGGGAAGCTAGCAGGTACCAGAATGCATGGTGTGCTGGTAACTATAGGAAAGACTCCCTATCTTCCGTCTCCTATCTTTTCGTTACATATTTTAAAGTCTGGACAAATGGGTTTCCCAGTTTAGCAGAGCACTGAGGCAGACACAGCAAAGCACACGCTTATTTGCTAAGTGTGTACTCAAATCCATTAAGTGCTTTGATAAATAGGACTGATTTTGATAATTGGCATCAAGATTACTGGTGAGATTAACTCATTATGCCAAATACTTTTTTCAAAACTGTCATATCACTCCATGTTCTATTTTGGAATGATAGAAGTTACTCTTTATACAGAGTAATTTGAGTGATTCTTCATTTGAATCAAGATTGCATGTGCTTTAACTCTACCTCCCCTCCAGTTGTGCTTAGAAATGCTGAGAGCATTCCCAGCAATTCCTGGTCACCGTGGCACTGGAATGAGACACTTCTGAGTTGTGAAAAGCTTTGGATTCTTAGTTCTTGCGGTTTTGGTTGTTTTCAAACAATCAGCTGTGCTCTCTGCCGTCCCTCTGGGCACCCAGCCCACACCTGCCTCTCCCCGTGTCAGCTTGGGCACTGCAGTTCCTTGAAGCCTCTTCCATTATGACGAGGTGCCATCAGGGGAGTAAACTTCAAAGGCTGGCAGTGACTCTTTTGGCTCCACACGACTGCATTCATACTTGAAAAGCTGCACTCAGGTCAAGCAATTGCTGCCCTTCAAAAAGTAAAGGCTGATTCTGAAAGAGACTAGGCAGAGTTGGCAGGTATTGGGGCACACATTGTATTATTCTGCACAGCTGTATGAGCGTGGTTCACATAAACAATAACTGCTTCTCCTTAAGCAAACAGAAATCAAATCAATTTGCATATGAAGGAATATTGCATGTGCAGGTATCCAGTATTGAGGAGACAGGATGCAGGGCTGGATGGGCAGGTGCTGCTGACCATGGTGTATGTCTGAATTCACTGGGAAATAGAGCCAGTAGGTGATGTGTAAGACTGTAGGGGTGGTGACTGCTGCATGGAGCTGTAACTCCATGTGTCATGGGGTCTTTTTTTGTCTTGCAGACCCCCAGTGGATTGTTGCTGACCCCCAGCCCGCTGCTGTCTAGCATTCATTTCTGGAGCAGCCTCAGTCCTGTTGCTCCTCTGAGTCCTGCCAGGCTGCAGGGACCAAACACTCTGTTCCAGGTAGGTCTTTCCAATGCTCAGGTTTCATTGCTAAAGGTGCACATGTGGCAGAGACATCGGGGCAATATCTCCTCACATCGGTCTGAAGCTTTTCAAACAGATTAGGAAAATACAGGAGTTAACAGGCACTTTTTTAGAGAGGCTTACTTACCTGTACCTTCATTAAATCCTTGGCAGCGCAGTCAGAACCTGCAGGGCAGTGTCCACTGCAGCAAGCACACACATGCTGTGTGAGGGAAACAGAAATAAATGCTGGACCCCAGTAAGAGAAGGTCTGGAAGCTCTCAGAGCTTCCAGAAGAGAGTGAAAACCAGTCAGGGACCAGCCAGGAGAGGGGTGGAACATGGCTCTGGGGAAACCAAGAGCAGCTTAGGTCTCACACAGTAAGGTGGGTGTAGGTTTATCCTCTTAATTAGCTACTTCTCACTCAGAAAGACGTATTTGTATTTACAATAAGGGCACTCTGAACCTGAAGGCTCCATTTCCAGCTCCCCTGCAAATTATCCATGTGTCCTCAACCAAGGACACACTGCTGAGCATGACCTCTCTGTAACAGCAGAAAGGCAGCATTGTGTCCACTCTCTCGTGGGTATTGGCAGAGAAAACATCTCAAAAGTTATTGAGCAAGCTATGATGGCCACAGCACTCAGCTGTAGCAGTGCTGAGGAAGGAGGCTTAGGAAGAAGATGGTGGGAATGATATTAGCAGTTCCAGCTGTAGCTGCTGCAAAACAGGTGATTCATTAAGTCACACAAGAAATTATGCTGTTCTGCTGATTGGCAAGAAGCACGGGAACCCAGTGGTCATCTGTGCAGCTGAAGAATGCAGGGTCACCCCTGGAATGAACACCTCGACTGCTGTGGAGGGCCAGCACTAACAGAGGAGGAGGGTACTGCCAGACAGGGACCCTGTGTTAGTCTCTGAACCTTCAGGGAAACTGCCTGAATCCAAGGCTGGGTTTCGGCTCAAGTGCTCTGCTCAGGTACAGTCTGCACCAGGGGAGTAAGCCTCTCTGCCTCCAGTGGGACAGCTGCACATGGAGCTCAGGGCTCCTTATTTGTGTTTCAGATAAACTCACTGATTTGTATTGGACCTTAGTTTTGCACATTTTGGGATTAAAAACAGCCAGACAGTTCATCTGAGAGAGAAGTGCCTGCGCCAAGGCCTGGAATGAGCTTGGACAGCTATGGATACACACTGGCCATCTCCTAAGGGAACTGAAAGTGAGGAGTGGCCTTGGCTTTACCTTCTGAGAGACCCCCAAGGGCCTTACAAATGATGTTTGATTCAGGCAAAGGCCACGATGACAAGTTGTAGAGCACAAAGCTTTATTTTAACAGCAAATCGGAAATGAAAACCACAGCCTGAAGCCCGGCCAACCCCACTGAGAACTGATGGGTCAGCAGTGTGGATGTCAAGGCAGAGCTCTCCTCAGGCTGCTTGCAAAGCCAGCCCACGCTCCATGCAGCTAGGCAGGGAGGAGCTTGTAATCAAGGTCTGTGTTTTAATGAATCTTGGCAGAAGTCAGGGAAACATTTCCCGAAGATCCGTTTGGTTAAAAGAGAGGCATCAGGCAGTCCTGGCCACACCAGGAGCACGGTGCCAGCCCCTCCTCTGCCACACATGCTGCTGAGCCCGCACTGCTCTGCCTGATTTTCAACAGAATGGTGGAAGACAGGTGTCAGTAACTGACAGTAACTTAGTGGAAGAGTAAACTTGTTATGAGCAGATTATGTGCACGTGTAGAGAGTGATTACACCAGAGTTGGCTGTGGAAGGACTGATCTTATAATAGGTAAAAACACACCAGACGCTTGAAGCTGAGAGCTCTGTTGTTCAGCTCTGCCTCTCTCAAGCTCATGGAGCTGGGCCTTGAGGCCAGATCAGTATTTACCACTGGGATAATTCTCACCTCATGCTGCAGCAAGTTTATTCCACCTACTTGCTTTACTTTTTTGCAGGTCAGATGTTAAGAACTGGTCAATACATATCACTGCAGGCAAGTTACAGTCAGGATGCTGTAATATATGCTAGGAATATACAGCTTCTGTATTGAATAAGTGTTTTTTTGCACAGTATTTCAGAAGCAGCATGTTAATATAAATAATATATTCTGCTTCACATGCTGAATGATTTGGCATAGCTATAGTTTCTTAGTGAATACAGAGAGAAATTGTAATTACTTGGGAGTAATTTTCCTCATGCTTTGTATTCCCAACTGTACTTTTTCTGCCTTAAAACTACATCTTGATTTTCACTTTTGCAAAAGTCTTTCCTGTGTAGTGTTAAAGAAGGGCAGACAAAAAGGATGTATTGTAATTAATAGACTGTAGGCTGAAAAACACTTTTGGAAACAGAATGGATGGCAAAGATTTCTCTACAGTGTTCACTTTCCCAGGGCAATGATAAATGTATTATGTGAACTTTTATATAATAGATTTCTATATCCCCGTACATTTACAAATTATTTGTGTTTGGTCCTCTCTTTTGCATTCCTAATGGCTGATCCAGGCATTTGGGATATGTATCTTACTCTATAGACATCACAAGTCTTGAAACCACCTGGAGCCAGTAGCTAACGCTAAATCCATGTGCTTCTGGGCTGAATGCTTTGAGATAAACAGTAATTTTTACCTTTTGGCCTCTTACAGTTTCCAACTCTGCTAAATGGTCACATACCAGTGCCACTCCCCAGTCTGGACAGAGCCTCTTCACCAGTACTGCTTTCTCCAAATGCTCAGAAATCCTGATGATGCCTCATCACACCAAAGATGTATTGGTGGATTTAACACTTCATTCCTATGGGCTAGTTTTTCCTGTGTTATGAGAAGGACATTGTGAAACCCTTTATTACTTTGGTTTGCACTTTTCATTACATGGATAATCTACTTTTATTATGTTAGCATTTTTCAACAGTGTTTATATATAAAAGTATATATAAATCTGTTATGCATTAAATGAATTATAATTTTTTTTATATCATAGCTCTCAAGTGTTGAACACTTCTGTTGTTGATGAAGTACTTTTCTTAATGTTTTGCAACAATGTATCTAATAGGGATGTGAAGCTTCTTTTTAATCCCTTTTTCTGCATATTATGCATTGTGCTTGTGTAAACTATAACCGGCTGTGCCTTCTTTTGCATAAAGTCATGTAAATGATTTATATATTTTCTAGTATTAAGATAAAAAGTTGAAAGAAAAAAAACTAGTATTGAACAGCCCTATGATAGTATTTCAGTATTTTCTCCACGGATAGGCCATATGATGCAGTGTATTAATGTAACTTTGTATTAAGTGCTTTCAAATTGTATAAAAATAGCCTTATAATTTTTGTTTGCTGAAGAAACGAAAAAATGTAATCCATGTTACAGTCAGGAGATGTAGTTAGGAGTAACAAAGCCACATTTACACATTCATGCCCAAGTTCTTCTGGCGAGTTTGCAAGAGGGAAGAACTGGGCTGTGTATGTTCGAAATATTTCCAGCATTGGAGAATACTTCTGTAGAAAGCAGACATTGCTCAAAATTATTTGGCCTATACTTCTTATGAACTGTCAGCAGCTGGAAAGACTGCAGGTAACCTGTGTCATCCTAGGGAATGAGGATCATTCCTGATAGAGAATTTCCAGGTGCTTTGTTCAGCTATGCCAAGTGCCTTCTACTGCTTCCCTGGAAAGATTATTGTAGCTACTCAAGCTCAGAAGGTCACATTTCCCCTTCCCCCAAAGCTGGAAAAGTTACAGCTCTGTAAATTAATGCCTGGTGCTTGCAAAGAGGCAGAGACTGTAAATGTGGGATGTTTATGTATAAACAGCTGAATTCTGGACGAAAAAACAGCACTGTGTTACTATATATTTGCAACTTGAACTTTCTGGGTATGTTCTCTGCCTTGAGGTGATGGCTTAGTCATCTAAATGTCAGGTTAGGATTAGGCCAGACTCCCTGGCACCACAGATTCTAATCTTGGCAGGTCTGATGCAAATCTTCATTTTTCTGAGGTGGCTAAATTGGGCTGAATGCAGCTTTACCGTGTAGGTTTTTCAGATGAGACCTTCAAAAACCAAACCAAAATCAGAATCCTGTTTGCGACAGGTCATTAAAGCCTCTACTTTGCTTTCTGGCCAAAAGACCAGTCCTTTTGAAATGTATGCAGTGAGTTGTCTGCTGATTTTCTGCTTGGATGCATTTCAGTGATGATGTGTGTAGTTAATTGTAAAGTGCTTTTGGATCCTTCAACCTGAAAGGTGCTAAATAAACATTTTATTAATGCAGTTCTGATGTTGAAAAGCCATTTTTGGGGCAGAGGTGGTCTGACAAAAGACAGCAAGAATTTTCCTCAGGCGCCTGGATTGCACAATCAAAAATGACTCCTCAGTTCCACTTGCAGTAATTAACAGGATAAAAAGTTGCTGTATCTCTATGAAGTACCAGATGATAAACAGAGCAATTAGATGCAAGACATGGGGAGAACGGATGAAATGCTTGGAAGTCATTTGCTCCATTCAGCATTTTAAGAGCTCCAAGTCGTACCACCCCACGGGGTCAAAACCAGAAGATGAACCGACACAAAATTTATGAGTGAGGGCAAATTTCATACAAAGGGAAATCAGAATAGGTTGGAAGAAAGGGCAGAACGTAACTGATGGGATTGACTAGGCTAGTGGAGATAAATCACAAGGGCTCACAGATCAAACATTTCTCTTCCAATGCTCTCAGGTACATGGAGTATTTTTCAATAACTAAGCTACAGGGAGGCAAATATTTCACACTCTAAAGCCAACTCTTGCCTCATTTTTAAAGAAGCATACATACCTACTTACAGGTATAAGGCATGAGCAGCAATTAAGAGTCCTGCCTTGTACCAGCCGGTACAGCCAATAGGAGAATACAGCATAGAGATGGAGTGTTTCTCACTGTGAGTTCAAAAAGTGAAGGCAGATATTCCTGAACACTTAAATATCAAATATCACACTGCAAAAAAACCAGATAAACATGAGAGTAGGAAGTATGTGACAGAGAAGAGATTCTTAAGAGGCGTCCAGATTCTCATGATTTCATTTCTTCCAAGGTTTTACTATTAAGAAGGCAGATTCTTTTCTTTTCAAAAGTCTCAACACACCCACACCTTCCCTCCTACCTTCCTGCTTCTTGAGTGATTTTGGATTTCTTTAAAATATAACAGGAAACAGCAGTTCTGGGGAAAAAAATCCTATTTCAACAAATTATTTTAAAGGATCTCAGAGAATCCAGTAAAATTTAATGGAAGACACAGAGCAACTGGGAAGCAGTGCTGTCTTCTTCTCTTTCTTTGAGAGAATGAAAATAGCAAAAGAACACATCTTTTGCTAATTAACTTTTCAATTAAAACAGGTTGTCAAAATGAAATCTGCCTTCTAAACTGGTCAATAATGTGGAACAAAAATTTTTCCAGTCGGGAAGAATTTATACAAATAAAGTCCAGCCTCTCAAGTCTAACACTTACAGAAAACACTAGATGGTTATGCCTTATGCTTTGAAGAAAAAACTCTCTTGGTAATCTACTGAATTTTATTAACGTATATCTTTTTAACTGTAGAGAAAAATCAAATAAATGTTTTTAAAATAAATACTGTGAAAGTGTCAGTATTTCTAGTGGCATGGAGAGCTCCAAGCCAACAATCCTGGGGAACAAACCGGAGTAATTCTCTCTTCGGTATTCTTGGTACTAATGGCGATTTGATCCCAATTGAGGGATTTATTTTAAGATTTACCCTTAATTCATGCTTCAGCAGTACACAAAATGTTTCCAGTATTCTATAGGCTGGGTGCATGATTAGGCTGTTTTGGGCTTACCTGGACATTGTTTTTGCAGAAAAGCCAAGTATCCACCAGTAGGGCCACAGCCTCAGGGCAGCTTCGTCAAGAGACTGTGCACATCGTCTGCCCTGGCACCGGTAAGTGGCTTCAGTTCTAAAGAAAACTTTCAAGGTGGGGAAAACAGTGATGGGCGATAACAAACTATACAGAAAGATTTGACACACATCCATTATGTCAACAAAGAACAATTCGTTCTGTCTGAATGAAACTAGTCTCATCAGACAGGCACTTGTCTATTTGGAAATACCTACCAAAGAAGTAAATAACTGTCAACAAGATGGCTGTTTGAAGGGGAGACGGCCCTTTAAAACAGACTATAGTATTTAACGGGACAGATCTCTGCATTAAGAGGCTGTGTGATCTTGTGCCTACAGGATGAGTCTTCAGAAGCCATCATGACATCCAAACAAATTTAGAAAAGGCACAGTAAGTACAGGTAGTCTTTTATGTAAGGGCATCACTGTTCGCTTCTGATCTTGAGACTATCTGTATATCCTGTAGGACAAACACACACGGGTCCCTCAGATCCCTACAGAGTCATCAGAAAACTACAACTTTTGAAATCCCTTTTAGCCCCAAACTGTAACTGCTCTCACCAATTACTGTGTGAGTGCTCTGCCTGCACAGACGGAGTGCAAACCTACTTCTTGAGGGCAAAGAGATTGACAGCATTAGTGAGGTGCAGTATAAATTTATTTAAATGAAAAAAGGAGAATGAACCTCAAGCAAGGACTCTGCAACAATCAGCATCACGGCCTGCCTTAGGTGAGTGGTGGTATTTGCAGAAAAGCATCCTAGAATAAGGGGTGTTAGGATATGTTGATTTTTTTTTTTTTTTGTAAAAGATTTCCATCAGCTCATATTCACTCGGCAAGAAGCACGAATGAATAAATGTAGCCTTAATTATTCCTAACATGGCTCCGGGCCAGCTCCCTCCTCCTGCAAATTAAGTAAAAGGACAGGGAAGAAAGGAAAAAATAGTCTTTGAAAAACAAGCTCAGGGTGTGAAAGAGGAGGGGCAGGTGTCAGCGCAGACGAAGGGCCTGGAGGGAGGGTGTTCTGTGACAGCATGTCAGAGAGGAGATAGGGAAGAGCATTTTCCCTGGTTTGCAATCTGCAGCAATGCTAATTCCATCAGCAAAGAGATCCCACCGCATCAAATGGAGAAACTTTATAGCTCTCTGGGGAAAAATGTGTTTCAAGGCAGGGCATCTGAGCCAAGTACAACTCACATTTCATTAGGAGGACCATAAAAGCAATGTGCTCAGGCAGTTCTGCTTCTTGAATGAGTTTGGAGGATGAAGCCAGGACAATAAATTAAGAAATTATTTACCACAACAGCATGTGCATCTGCGTGCATTCACAGTTTTAACTGGCTCAAAAATTATAGAACTTAAATGAGTTAAGGGCTTTTAGAAAACATGCAAAAATTATGGAAAACTGTATGTTTTCCACTGACAGCAATCTTTTTCTTTCAGTTAACAAGAGAAGCACAGTATTGCCCAGCGAAAATCGCACACCAAGGATTAAAAAAACCAATCTAGAATACCTAAACTCTCATCCCAGTTCTGAAAAACCGCATTTTCACTGTGGCCAAGAAAAAGAGTATGATTTTTGTGCAACTGAACTCCACAGATGAAATGGGTGCACGGTAGGAATTACAAAGTCCACATATACGCTTGGTTTTTATACTCTTCATAATCATCCCACCTGTACAGCCAGAGCTTACAATGTTCCAACTGACTACACATTTTCATGGTGCTTTCTTTATGTTTTACAATTTATACATGTTGCCAATCTCCTAAATTGGTATGACATGGATGCTGATGAAATACATGGGTTTTGCTGAACAGCACAAAACACCAAATGGGAGCATTAAACCTCTAACAGTCCAATCTCTGACAAAACAAAACCCCAAAAATTTGTAAAGTAAGCATTCAAGTTCCTTCCAAAAATAAAGGCATTTCACAGAAATGTTACATATGTTTTAAAGCCAAAATTTGTTATGGTAAAAACAGGTACTGAAATGTGCTAACAAGGTGCAAGAATTATTTCAACTCTGCTCATCAGTAACCAGACAAAATGATGATGTTGTCACAGACAAAATAAGTTCTGCTTTTTCTTCAGTGTCACCATGTGCTACAAGAGCTGCACATTTCCATACCCCGATTTGTTTGGATTTCTTTCAAATCTGACCTTAATTCCGAGTACATCCTGGGTTTATAATACTGAGCTTGGGGATATTTACAACATAACTTTCATATATTTTGTCCACAATACTTGAATGTATTCTTAACCTTAATTCCATCTTAACATTGCAAAACAGAAACAATGTACCTTTATTACACTGAAAAAACTCAAGCACAAACAACAAGCAAGCAGCCCAAAGAATGCTACCTCGCAAGTTTTTCAAATGATTTGCAAATACAAAGTATGTTGATTCTTTAATAATTGTTTATTTTAACTTTTATTGCCCAATTCAGGGATACACTCTGGCTACTTAACGCTGTGGTAAAGCAGCACAAAAATAACACAGCCATGTTGAGATGCACGTTCCTCTAGAGCATTGCTGAGCAGCTGGTTTGCCTTGCCCTGTCCATCTCCCATCCTGTCCTATCAATCCCCGCCCTCCACCCACCCTCTCTCCCCTTCCATCTCCACCTGTGTGTGCACACACCCGCATCGCCACCACCTGCCTGTCCTGTCTCCGAGCCCACCTTACTCTGACACGCACCTGCACGCGCTCCCTGGCATTCCTACCCTGGGGTAGGTGGGATACACCACGCGCCTTCTAAAAAGAACTACTTAAAATCAGCCACAACTTGCAGGCCATTCCTCATAAACTGATCACTCATCTTCAAGCAAAGGTGGTCATACCAAATCCTGAAAGTCATCTGGTTTTGGTGACTATCTGCTTGGGTTTGTCACGCTTGAGGTCTTCTCCCAAAAAGGCCAATGCTCCCTACAGTTCTTGGGACAGTGAAACCAAGTCCATAGTACCCGATTCTGCCAGACAGGAGGCAGAACACTGAACTGCACAACAAGGATGTCAGAGAGATGCCCAGAAACCTCAGACTTGCTGACTACTGCCCCAAATAGGCAGCTGCCACAGAATTGTCTCTGCTGATGCAGGAATTTCAATTACAGAATTAAGAAAAACCCCCAAGCTGGCTTGACCACAGATGCCATGTTTTTCAAGAAATACATTCTTTAAAGCTACCTCCTAATGAAGAAAACAGATTCACTTGTAGGTCCTTAGAAAAAATCTCTTTATAAACAGAGTGCTTTAATTTTACAGATCTTCTCATCTGCATCTGTAACAAAAAAAGCTGAGCTCCTACTTAAAATGGAGCATACTTTTGTTAGCTGCAGCGGATCCCTTTCTAAATTTATTAATGCACTTCATTTTACCAGTTGAACCTTTAAGTCCTTTACTCATTAGTGTCACATTATTACTTGTTCTGTTATGATCTATAAAATATTACTGTTCTAGAAATGCTAAATCCCACATTTATCCACAGTGAACATTTACCCTATATCTTCACTACTTCTGTAAAAAAGGAGATGTTTTTCTGATATGTCCTTCTTCAACACCATCACATCTACAATGTATTTCCTACAAAGTTAATCAGTATAAAATCTAGATCATATCCATAGCAACTATAAAAAAATATATAACAACTATTTCAGGACAAGGTTTTTCATCAGTGCCACGTCTGCCCCTGACACACACATAACACTCCCACTGGAATCAGCGGGAGATCTACGCATGTGCCCGAGACACGCATTACGCTCCCAGACCTAGGCAAGACTTCTGACACCGTGTGACATGCAGGACTTGCTCACCAATAACGAGACCGTGGGCCGTGCTTCTGACAAGATCCTGAACGGCCTCAGTCACGGATGAGCCACGCTACTTTCCACTGCCACTACTTCCGCATTGCATGAACCAAAGCAGCGGCCAGAGCTCAAACTGACGGCTCCCACAACACACGGACCTACCTAAACGTTTCCAACAATGCCCCAAGAACCGCAAGTTCACTTAGTCTGTATTTTTAACAACACAGGGCTTTTCTTATTATAAATTTCAAAACAAAACCAAAGAATTCCACATAATATTTATACTTTCAAAAGTACAATATTAATACAGGTCGGTCAGTTAGAAATAACAGCAGTTTGTTAGGTCTACAAGATTTAACGTAAAACCGGTTTACAAATGCTGAAAAGCAGTAGTGGTCCAATAGTCACCATTACACATGAATTTCTCTCTTCCAGAAAATAAAAAAAAAAATCCCAATTCAAATTTACCAGTATCAATGAAATATTAATAAAACACCCCCAAACATGCCACAATCACTATTCACAAATAAAGTTAAAATGAAATATACAAAAATTCACTTAATACTGTTAAATAACAATAAACTACAAGATTTCCTGAACAGAAATGGTAGGACCCCTGAACGTTTTACAGTGAATGTCAGGAAAAATTAAGTTACCTATGACTATTTTCA